TTTGGAGCAGTCACAGTTCAGGCCAGCTGAGGCCTGGAATTCTGAAAGGTAAGAATCCCCCCCTCCCATTCTGGGCTCTCCCCCTGATCCTTGGGGTCCCCCTCCCAGTACCTCCCACTTCCCTCCATTTACTTGTGGCTGCCTGCACTATGTATCCCAGGGGAGAAGGCAGGGAAGGATTTGCCTGCATGCCCAGCCCCTCCTTCTGCCAGGCTTCAGTTCTTCTCCAGCTGATCCCAGGCCAGAGAGAAGCATCAGTAGTGGCAATGACAGATGGGCAGGCAGTTTACCCCTTCCCTGCCAGGTCCTCCTGGACAGACAAGCAGGCAGCCACAAGTAAAGGGTGGGATGGGGGAAGTGGAGATCCAGGACACTGGGTAGGGTGGGAAGCAGTGATCCTGATCCCAGCCAGTGAGGGAGGGGTCTTGCTGTTGTTTTTCATCCTTCAAATTTGAAGATGACCATAACATCACTGTTTGGTTTGGTTTCTGTGAAAACATGAATGGCTGATCCAGTCAATTTGTGCTTTGAACTGTCTATGCACACTAAGCAAGAGATGTGTTTTTTGGGTTGTTTGATCAACAGTGGACATGCTGCTGTTGCAAGATTTGTGCTGTTTATACTTCTGCTGAGCCTCAGCAGTTCTTCTTCACTCCTAGACAGTAGCTCCAGTATGGATGAGGCTCCACAAGATGGAACAATCATGAACAAGATCTTCCTAGGACTTCAGGTCAATGTTGAAATGTTTCAAGGATGACTTGAGGGAGTCCTTGAAGTGTTTCTTCTGTCCTTCCTGAGAGTGCTTTCCTTCTTTTAGATGACAGTAAAAGATCTTCTTTGGCAGCTGCTCATCTGACATCCTGGTGACATGGCCTATCCACCTTATCTCTGATTTAATCAAAAGATTGTGAATGCTTGGAAAGTCTGTCTGAGAACGTGTCTTGCCATTTTATTGTCATCAGTTTCCTCAGACAGTACATGTGAAAATGTTTTAGCTTCATAGCGTGACATCTATACAATGTCCAGGTTTCATATGGATACATCAGGACTGGCAACACAATAGTTTTGCAAACCTTCAGTTTTGTTTGTTGGTTGATGCCCCTGTGCTCCAAAACATTTGCATACAGTCTGCCGAAGCCAAGCTTGCTTTAGCAATTCTGGCATTGGTTTCATCAGTGATGTGAACCACATGTGACAGTGTATTGGCAAGATTAATTAATTTGTCCACTGCCTGGAGAGGTTGGCCATTCACTGTGATGGTAGGCTCTATGTAAGCTTTCGTGGTGCAGGCTGGTGCATCACTTCTGTCTTCTTAGTGTTGATTGTGAGGCCAAAATTGTTACAAGCTGAAGAGAAATGGTCCATACTCTGTTGCATATCAACCTCAGATTTGGCATTCAGGGAAGTCATCAGCAAACAGAAGATCATGAACAGCCACTTCCTGTAATTTCATCTTTGCCTATAGTCTCAAATTGAAGAGTCTTCCACCCATCTGGTAACTGATGTCAATCCCAGTGTTACAGTCATGAAAGGCATCTGTAAGTGTGGCAGAGAACATCATACTGAAAAGGGCTGGGGTCAACACACAGCCCTGTTTGACTCCACTGGTGACTGGGAATGGTTCAGATGACCCCCTGTCATCCACAACATGAGCGAGCATGCCATCACAGAATTGCTGAATCATTTCAATGAATTTCTTCGGGCTACCTTATTTTGCCACAATCTTGCAAAGGCCTTCCTAACTGTCTGTATCAAATGTTTTTGTCAGGTGAATGGAAGTCATGTATAGGTTGGAGTTCTGTTCCTGTCATTTCTCCTGAAGTTGACAAGCTGCAAACACCATGTCTATGCTCCCGCTCCTTTTCCTGAAACCACAGGTTGACTTTCAGGCAAGAGCCCTCATTCAATGTGTTGCACAAGGTGCTTCAACACAATTCTGGTGAGGATTTTATCAGCTATTGACAGCAAGGAGATGCCCTAATGGTTGTTGCAGTATTATCTATTGTCTTTCCACTTGTAGACATGGACAATGGATGCATCCTTGTACTCCTAGGGTATAGTACCTTGAGTACTCCTAGAGTATAGTACCTGGAAGAGTTCAGTCAGTTTGAAAGCCATGTGCAAGCCTTATAGACTTGTGCTGGTATAGCATGTGCTTCAGGTGTTTTACCATTGACAGCAGGTTAATTGCTTTCACAGTGTCAGTCAGCATTGGAGGATCAGCAAGAGATATGTTAATGTCTACCTGGGGCAGTTGATCAATTGCCTCCTCACTAATAGATGATTGTTGATTGAGGATGTTGTTGAAGTGTTCTGCCCATCTCTGCAGTATCTTTCCTTTATTGATGAGCAATGTGGTGCTATCAGTACTCAGTATTGGAGATGTTCCTGATGACTGTGGCCCATAGATTGTCCTTAGGGCATAATAGAAGTTCTTCATATAGTTCCTATCTGTCTGGGACTGAATCTCATTGACCTTGTTCCTCAGCCATGAGTTTTGCATTTGATTTTGCATTTGAAAATCCTTTTGATGTTATCGAAGGCTTTCTTCTTAGATGTTGAAGTGCTATCTTCTAAGCAGGCCTTATGGAGCCAATGTTTCTCATTCAGTAGTCTTGCTATATCAGTATTGGTTTCATCAAACCAATCTTGAAATGTATGTGTGATGGAACTGAGAGTATTGGATGCAGCTGAGTAGACAGGGAGAAGGATGCCCAATTTTCCTCATTATTATTTGAGTTTACATCAATTGTTACTATTTGGCTGCACAGTTCTTCAACAAAGAACTACCTGTTTCACATTCTCCTGTTTCAATTTGGAGGCATTGAGCTTTTGGGGTGCTTTTTTTGTCTTGTGGTCATCTAGTAGGATGTATCCATATATTCAGGTTGGAGACTATGATCCTCAGTCAAGAATTCTGCAATTCTCATGGCCTTTGTCACTCTGACATCCTGCCTGTCTTGATGATGACGTAATCAATGAGATGCCAATGCTTGGAGCGGGGGTGCATCCAAGATTTCTTGTGCAGTTTGGCAGATGGAAGATTGTGTTGGTGATGAGCAGGTATCTGGGTTTTCCATTTCCCATGGGAAAACGGAGTAAACCAAGGATTTTACCTTTTACCAGGAACAAACACAGATTTCTCATTTTACCAGAGAAACCCATGGATTTTGCAATTTTGCAATGAGATCCCTGCAGGCTGGCAGAGTTCCAGATACTGCTTCATCCAGCCTTCTCACTCTCACCAAATATTTTCCCAGAAAAGTCTCCTATAAGTTACTAATGTATGCTCTATATATTCTAATGTGCTTTCCATAAAAAAATATCATTTCAACAAGTGGGGCATTCGTGAAAGAGCAGTAGCAAACAGAAGCATTTGTTTGCTCAGTAGAGCTGCAGAAAGTTCAGATTTCCGTAACACATATGGGAATCTCATAACTGTTTAAATGCAAGTTTTGAACACAATTATTCAGTTAGAAGTTTTTTTCTTAATATGCAAGTGGAGCTCAGATGCTCCCTTAGCTTTCCTAGCTGGGCTATGGACATCTGAAACAAAGCTGTCTAGGCCAGAGAGAAGGTGTACCAATAAGCTGTCTCTTCCAGTTCCCTATCCCTTTCTGTTCAATCTGGGTAATTAAATATGACCCCCCCCTAACCAAAAACTAAACAAACACATGCTCTTTTGTGGGATATCAGGGTTGTCCAACGTACAGGGAAAATGAAGCTGAATAATTTGCAGTATTGTACACAGCCACCTTATATTGGGGTCTCAACACTAGCTGGTTCAAGCCAGCTAGCCATGCTTATTTTCATTGGTTCACTAGCAAAATGCTTATTAAACTACACTAAATTATGGGCCAGATCCTGTCAATGAAGGAAGTCCAGGGTGTACTTTACGGAGGCTCTTTTAGGAGTAGAGGTGTAAGCTATCCCAAAGAGATGAAATAATGGAAAGGACAACGATAGATAAAAACTTAGCTAGACAATGACCTCTTTGAGGATCTGAAACTCAAAAAAGAATTTCATAAAAAAGTGGAAACTTGGCTATACTACTAGGAAAGAGTATAAGAGCATTGCAAAGGGAAGCAGGAAGAGAATTAAGAAGGCCAAGGCACTATTGCAGATGCAGCTGGTAAGGGATATAAAAGGGAATAAAACAGGGTATCTGAAAAGGATATAAGTATAAGGGTATAAATATCTTAAAAACAAGAGGAAGACCAGAGAAAACTTAGTTCTTCTGCAGAATGTGGAAGACTATTTCTAGATGTAGAGAAGGGAAAAGTATTTAACACATTTTTTACTTCAATCTTCACAAACAACGGAACCTACCAGATGAAGAGAGCTTCTGGAAGATAGGTAAGGAAACAAATAGCCTAGAGTGTTGCCCGGTGGGGTCAGGCCAACTCTCAGGATCTCAATATTGTGCTGCTAGATAGGAGGATATGGTGTACAATTGCACATGCACACACTCAAAAATAAATTAGGTGCATACACACACTCTAGGTGCATGCCCCCCCGCCAGGCATGCACATACACACTACCATTCCAGGCACATACACATCCAAAATTACCAGCCTAGGCAAATGCACACCTATCACCAACTGAAGCACCTACAAACACTATACAGACCAAAAGAAATTAGACCAGAATCAGTTACCAAAACCTGCACATCCAATACACATACATGGATCACTAATTCATATATCATGCACACAGTGACATATACATGTATATCACCTACATACCTTACACACAGGTGAGTTCCTAATCTGTGGTGTGTATGTATGTGCTTGGTGTACTTAGGCTACCTGAGGGAAGGTTAAGGTAAGAGAGAAAGTGTAGGGGATGAAAGTTACTGGGACCAGGATTAGAACCGGTAGACATAGGGAGAGCTGGGTTGAGGAGCCAAGGCTTGGGGTTACTTCAGGTTACTGCTGGTGGAGACTGAGATGAAAGCTGCCAGTGCCAGGATTAGAACTGACAGACTAGAGGGAAGTTGAGGTAACTCAAGGTTAAGTGTTGTTAATTCAAAGCAGAAAGCTGGCAGAGCAAAGAAGCAATGCTGGGGAGAAGCCCAGAGCCTGGAGCCGGAGCAAGGAGACTACAGGGGAGCTAAGAGGTACGTGGGGAGAGGAAAAATGGTAATAGGGCTGAGAGATTGCAGCAAGCAACAGGGCTGAGAGGATGCAAAAAGTGGTAGGACTGAGGCTAAGAGATTACAGAAGGCAACAGGGCTGAGAGATTGCAAAAAGGTGCGGGAGTGGGGCTAACTGCTTGCAGAAAGCAACAGGGCTGAGAGGTTGCAGAAAGCAACAGGGCTGAGATTGCAGAAAGCCACAGGGATGAGAGGATTCTAAAAGTGGTGGGATCAGGGCTTACAGATTGCAGAAAGCAACAGGGCTGAGAGATTGCAGAAAGCAACAGGGCTGATAGGATGCAGAAAGTGGTGGGAGTGGGACAAACAGCTTGCAGAAAGTAACAGGGCTAAGAGCTTACAGAAAAGGGAGAAAGAGGTGCTGAGAGGTGGCAGAAAAGGGTAGACAGAATTGAGAGATCAGGAAAATGGTGGGGGTCAGGGGTGGAACTGGAGCCGCGAGAGAGACAGAGACTGGGATTTAAGATAGGGAAGGGACCAGGGGTCAGTAAAACACAACCCAACTCAGGGTTACAAATGATAGTGGTTTTATTGAACAGGGGAGATGGTGACATGATATTTTATTGGTTCCTTTGCGCACACACACACACACACAGACATACACACAGAGACAATGGCAGCAGGGGTTAAAGAGGTTTGATGTAGGGGCTAAAGTCTGGGAGGAGAGAAATAGAGTCCAAATTGGAGGAGGAAATATGCAGGTGATATCTACCTATCCCAGGCTGAAAGTGGGTCCTCGATGGCCAGTCGGGGTCTCCTTCAGCTCGGTGTTGTCTAGACGGGGGTCACCAGCAGGGCCTCTTGGGTACATAGGCAGTGTGATGTGGAGCTGGTCTGGTCCAGATGGAAATGACATTTCAAGGAGTCAGTCTTCACTACCGTTTTTATGGGGCAGACTATCTGTGATCCCCTATGGGGAGGGCCTGTCCAGGCAAGGTCAGTCCTGTTCCAGAGGGTTCCAGGTGTTCTTATTGAGCATATGAAGCCTTGTTACAATGGTTGGTTGCCTCTTCTTTTGTTTCTTGACTGCTAAGGGTGGTTCCAAGGGCTGGGTCATTGGTCCAGGTATTGGTGTTGATGGTTTGGTCATTCAGAGGAAGCTATTTTTAGACCTACTGTCATTGTCTCTCAAGCACCCTCATTCATCCCCATTCATTCAGGAAACAAGTTCCCTGGGGGGGGGGGGTAGGTATGAGTCATAGGTTACACAACCAGGCATGGGGATAAGTTGGAGGCTTGATATCACAAGATGGAAACCACACAATATAAAAGCAGTAAAAAAAAAAATAAAAATCAATACAAAACACAATAATTTTCACTTACAAAACAGTGGATATCTATATCAAAATATATGGGCACTTATTTGCAAAGAGGGGAGAGAAAAATAAAACTTACTACCTAAAATAAAATGTTAAAGGGACAAAGAAGAGCTGAGATGTGGCAGAAAAGGGGAGACAGAATTGAGAGATCAGGAAAATGGGGGGGGGGGGGTGGAACTGGAGCTGAGAGAGAGACAGAGACCAGAATTTAAGATGGGGAAGGGACCAGGGGTCAGTGAAACACAACCCAACTCAGGGTTACAAATGATAGTTGTCTTATTGAACGGGATAGATGGTGACATGATATTTTACTGGTTCCTTTGCGCGCACACACACAGACATACACCTTAGCTTACTTATACTTATCTATAGGGAATAGAGAGGGATAGAAAAAGTCAGAAATGGTCAGGGAAGGGGAGGGAATGCATTTTAAAATAAATTAAAAAAAAGAAAAACTGAGAGTTTTGCTACAAGAGTAATAGGTTATAATCACTTATGGAATCTAGATGCTTGCAAGTTAGCAAGGCTGGATAGGATGCATGCTAGGGTACTAAAGGAACTGGTTGGAAGGAACTGTAATTTCGGAGCCATTGGCAATCCTCTTTGAGAACTCACAGAGGTTAGTTGTGGTCCCAGATGACTGGTAAAGAGCAAATATAGTGCTCATCTTTAAGAAAGAGAACAAGGAGGATCTGGGGAAATATAGACTAGTTAGCCTGGTCGATATATCTGGAAAGATAATTGATCAGGACCACAGGAATCTACTGTGAAGAACTGAGAAAAATGGTCTCCAACCTTTTTAAGTAGGAGATCATTTTTTGAATTAAAAAGCAACCCAAGATCTACTGTGCAGCTCCCCCCCGCCTACAAACACTCACCCAGAAGGTCAGTCTGTGGGTGAAGCAGGGCCCTGGCTGGGACAGGTGATGAGACAAGCGGAGGCCCAGGGAGCATGTGCCCCCTGGGCCTCTGATTGTCTTCCACTCTTCCCAGCCCCTGCTTGTGCCTATGCCCCGCTCCCTCCTTCACTGCTGGGGCCTTGATCTACCTCCTTCCCCATGGTGGAGGGAGGGAGTGGGGCTGTGGCAGGGACAGGCCCTGCACAGCCAGGGTGAGGTGTGGGATGGAGCTATGAGCGGCTCATCCAGGGGCTGCAGAGAGGGTGGGGCACACAGTCCAGGAGGGCATAGCAGGGGTGTGCCCCCGGATCTGCACATGGGTTGTGTTGGGCTGGGGCCAGGGTGGCACTGGGCTCTTCCTGGTGGGGGTCTTGGGCCAGGCTGTGCTCAGGCTGGGTGATGGTAGCAGCACTGGGAGTGGGGCTATGGGGCGGGGGAGGTGGCTGCAGCCACCCAAACATTTGCCATCACCCCCCCACGACTCCCCAGCAGCACTGCTGCTGCCCTCCCCAAGCACAGCATAGCCCAACCCCTCACTGGGAAGAGCCCAGTACAGCCTTCCCCTCCCCCTGCCCCTTTCCCCCCTGAGGGGGAGGGTGGGCTGAGGCTGGGTGGCTGCACCAGGCTCTTCCCAGGTGGGGGGTTGGGATGTGCTGTGCTGTGCTGTTCTTGGGGTGGGCAGCAGTGACACTGGGAGGGGAGTTGGGGCACTATTGGTGAATTTTTAGGTGGCTTAAGCCCCACCCTGTAGCCCCACTCCCCTAGCCCACCCCACCCCACATGTAGATCTGGGGCACATGCCCCCATGCCCGCCCAGATTGTGTACCCCCTGCATCCCCACACCCCCTGCATGAGCCACTCATGGCTCTGTCCCATGCCCCACCCTGGCTGTGCAGGGCCTGCCCCTACCCCAGCTCCATTCCCTCCACAGCTGCTGCAGTCAGGTCATGTGGCCCCCTCGATCTGTGAGCAGCGTGGAGGCAACTGCTGTTGTGGGCTGGGCTTTGGGCCCTGAGCCCCACTTCAGCTGGCCCAAATGAAGCTTGACACCATGTGCGTCCACTGCTGGGCTGAGACTTGTCCCCTGCCTGCCCAATGGTGGGATGCATGTGGCATCGGGTCACCCCCGAGCGAGCTGAAGTGGGGCTTGTGGTACAAAGCCTATCCCATAACAGAAGCTGCCTCCACCATGCACAGATGGGGGTAGCATGTGCCCTCCAGAGCCTCCACCGGGGTGCGCACAGTGGCAGGAGCCTCCCTGTGTCCCTGGAGGAGCCACCTGGGCTCAATCTTCTCACCACCTACCCGGTTGGTGCCCCACTCACCTTACCCCTGCTCCTGCCTCTGCCCCACTCTGTCCCTCACCATGGAGGCCTTGATCTGATCCCTTTCCCTTCTCTCCCCCCCCAGACTGAGTGGCTGGACCAGGGAGAGGGCACATGCGCTCATCTCCCACAGCCTCAGATCAACTGTAAGAGGCTCCATGATCAACCAGTCAATTGCAATCGACCAGTTGGTGACCACTGACCTAGAGGAAAATAATATCAGGAACAGCCAGCATGGTTTTATGAAAAGCCAGTCAAGTATGACCAAATTGATCTCGTTCTATGATTAGGTGTTAGGCTCTATGTGTGGAGGAAGAGCAGTGGATGTGATTGATATACCTTGACTTTAATAAGGCTTTTGATGCTGTCTGTCATGACATTTTCATTAATAAGGTAAGGGAATACAGACTAGACAAAAGTACTTTACGGTGGGTACATAACTAGTTTGATCATTTTACTCAACAGGTAATCATCAATGACTTAATGCCTAATTGGGAGGAGGTATCAAGTGGGGGTGTCCCTAGGGTCTGTCCTGGGTCTGGTATTATTTACTACCTTTGTTATTGATTTGGATGATAGGATCAAGCGCGCCTTAGGAAGTCTGTGAATGACACCAAGTTGGGTAGAGTTGCAGATACAAGAGAGAGAACAGACTGGAGAAATGGTCTGCTGTTAATTAGATGAGATTCAGCAAAGACAAATGCAAAGTCCTGCATTTAGGGCAGAATACATTAATGCATGAATACAGACTAGTACATGATTGGCTAAGCTTTTTAAATCTCCAAAATGGTTGAAGGAAATATCTCTTTCCAGCACCGAAAATTCATAATGAAATGTTTCCATCATTATGCTACTAGAACTGCCACTGCAAAGGATTTCTACTCATCAGAACTTTATTTCACTGAATTTGTTGATGGAAGTTTTGTGGAGCTTTAAAAACTGTAGTAGGCTCTAAGACTGATGTGCTTATCCTTCCTTAGATTTCTGAACAATGTTACTCTTTTCCCCCTTAATAGGATTTTTCCCCTTTTCTCCTTCCCTCTCTAACCTCACACCAAATATTGATATTTCCAACAACAACAAAAATTATCTACCAAAGTTTTCAGGAAAAAAAAAATCTGAAAGAAGTTTGAACCTTGCACCTATAGGAGATAGATTTTAGATGTTCACTGGCAAAACCCCTGTCATCTGCCATTGACCTCAGTGAGTTTCAAACTATGATTTTAGAGGCACATTTACTAAATTGAACACTACTGGGGCTATTGCCATGTGGCAGCTTTTCTCCTGTCACAACCATGAATGCACACCCACACCCATCCTGCTGCTCAGTTGTGTTTATATCAATGCATCTGGAAAATACTGGGCAACTGTCCTGTATTTTGCTAGCAACAGACAGGGATATTTGCTCTGAGATTCTATCA